CCAGGTGGAGAGAAGGAGGATGACTTTGGGCTGAGGACAGCAGGGTGCCTGCAGGGGCCCCAGGCAGAGGGCAGGGGAAGGTTAGGCGCCTGGGGCGGGGTGAACTCGGGACAGAAGAGGTTCCCAGGACCCTGACCATCGCTTAGCCGCCAGCCCCGGGCCTGCTAGCTTTCAAAGGAATTCTTCTGGTGTTCTCATGATCCGGGCTTTCCCAGTTCCGTGAGATTAAGATAGAAAGTTGTGGTTTGCAGTGAGCTGTCCGGTTAGCTGATGGACATTCCATGCTGCACTTTGATGGGACAATTCTCACACGCCTCCAGGGGTTTGGATGAGCAGTCAGCTCTGTGAAATCTCTCCCAGACCTGGACTGTCATCGCTCCGGGACCAGCTGGGGGCGGGGTGGCGACGGTGCAGGCACAACCGCGGGGTCCACGCTGCTGAGGAGCCCAGGGCCCAGCCCTCTGCCTCCAGAAACTTCTTGTACTCAGAAAACATGCACCTTGCTCAGTGGCCTGGTATGTGGGGACTCTGAACAGGGGTCAGGGCTAGAAGCACCTGATTATTTTGTAATTTTTGTACTTGTAAAAGCAGGTGCCTTCTAATGCCCACCTACTTCTAGCATTTCTGCTACTTATCAATGGCAGCCCCAAATGTATAGCTCCATCCCTGTGGCCATGTGCTTGGTGCCCAGCCCATCTTTCTAGAAGTGTATTCTGCCAGCTTCTGCATGGCTGCACCCTTGAGCAGTGAGTACCCACACGTGGAGAGGAAAGAGAGACAGAGAGAGAGATGAGGGGGCAAGCGGGGGGATGAGGAGAAGACAGAGCAATAGAGGTGCTAAGGGCCAGGGCGTATCTGAGGCACCCTGGTTCATTTGCCTCTCCCTCTGGCTATGCACCTCTAAACTCCAGAACATTCTCTTAGCTGAAGCCTCTGGGAGTTCAGTTCTGTCCTTGCAGCCCAAGGGTCCCCGTCAACATATGGGGGGTGCCCACCTCCAAGGGGCCCAAGGACGCTCTGCAGAGCCACTGGGCAAGCCTTCAGCATGTGCTGGCTTTCCTTAATGTGCCTTAATTGTCAATGTTTGACACCAGATCCATTTGATGGTGAAATTGCCCAGCATTCCATGTCTTTGGTGTTGCTTTGGGCTCCGATTCTAAGCCCTTCAGAGAAACTTGCCCAGGTGTGACCATCTGGTTGGAAGGTCCCCACGCAGAGGGCTGTGATAAGAGCCCGGCCCACCTTCTGCCGCTCGGACTCGCGTCTGGCGGCTTCGGCCAGAAGCTTGTTTTCTCTCCCATAGAAAAGGAGCCAGCCCGCACGGCCGGCCAGCGTGCGGCAGCCTGGCCCTCTGGCCCCGCCTGCCCTCACGCCCACCTGCTCTCGTCCTGTGTTTGTAACAAGGTCTTGCTGCAGGTCTATGTCACCACTTGGGTGCTTCCCAAGTTCTGAACTGGGACTGGCAGATGTCACACAATCGTTGGTCTCTTAGGGTATGAGCCTTTCTCAGCACCTGGCCCAGAGGTGGGATAACACACACGCGCTGATACAGGCATGTGGTTTATAAGAGGGACATAATTATCCTAAATAAACGCAGTAACAAACAGCACCCAATACATCAGGGGCAAGTAAAGCTCATCTCAGGAATGCAAGGATAAGTCAACATTATGAAATCTTTTAGTACAGTAACCTACATTACAAGATTAAAAAGAGGAAAATCCTTGAGCATCTCAAAAGATAGTCAGTCCTGCAAAAGCATTTGGGAAAATGTAACGCTTATTACTGAGTTTCGAGCACACACAACCAGAACATCTTCAGGAAGCTAAGAATGGTGGGAAAAATTCTTCATCCTCTAATAAACATTGTTCTTAATATATTAGAACAGGGGTCAGCAAACTTCTGTAAAGCATCACACAGCAAATATTTGAGGTTTTTCAGGTCACATGGCCTCTGTCCCAGCTACTTAACACTGATGCCACAGTAGGAAAGCAGCCATTAGACAACATGTAAATGAATGGGCCTGGCTGCGTGCCAATAAAACTTTATTTACAAAGACAGACCGCTATGGGTAGGATTTGGTCCCCAGTCATGGTTTGCAGGCTGCTACGTTAGAACCATTCACATTATAGCCAGAAACAAGAAAAAGATGCCTGATTTTATATTTGAATCCTAGCAAATGCAATAATACAAGGAAATACAGGTGAAGTACAAATACCAAAAAGACAGGGATAAAAATACAATTATTTGCATAATTAAGTGGCTTTTGTCTAGATAATCTAAACCAATCAACTGGCAAGTCATTAGAATTGCAAGTGGCCAATTCTAAAGTCAACATACAAAAACAATGACATTTATTAAAATAACAATTATAATGTTTCATGAGCAAAAATGTCCCAATCATGATTGCAATAAAACCCAGAAATAAACGAAGAAGTGAGTCTGACGTAAAAGAAAACTAGAAAACTTTACTGAAGTTTAAGTAAGTCAGGAGACAGACCACCCCGGAGCCGGACCCAGGTCACATACGTGTCAGCTTCCGAAGGGTGCCCACATGCTCAGTGCAATCCTGATAAAATTCCTGACAGGGGTGGGTTGAAACGATGAATTCTGCACTTCGTATGGAAGAAAAAGTGTGCAAGGATAGCTGAGAAATGCTTTTAAAAGGATGTGGAGGAGGAATTTGCTGTAAAGTCATCATAACTAATGGGCGGTTACTGTGCAGAAACTGACAAGCAGGTGCATGGGTCAGGATTGGAAGACCGAAGACACCATCTGTCTGAGGGAATTCAGTTTATTGAAGGTAGCATTTCATGTCAGTGAAGAAAGGATACCTTTCTTCATTTCTATCATTTATTTTCAATAAATGATAATGTGACAACTCTGTGCATTTGGGAAAGAAAATGTTTCCCCCACCAACATCACCCACCAACACACAGCACCCTCGCCTACACTTCCCTTCCATGTGGCTGCAGCTTCTCCCCAGGCCCCAGAGATGGGCAGGCCGCTCCCCACTCACAGATGAGGACAGCGTCCCCGGCCGTGCCTGCTTCAAGGGGTCCCTCAGGGTGTAGGGGAGTTTGCAATCAGATACAGTGTATGAGGCTAGGAAGACTCTGGATAAAAAACCCTCCGCCCCTTTCTGAGTTCTCATGCGCTGGGTCTAAACGTAGCCTTTCAAGGTCCAGCCTCTTCAGTTTTGGGGACTCTGCTGAAAGAATTTGCAATTCTGGCCATATGCAGAGCCCCAGAGCTCAAAGGGCAAGCGTCCTGTGGAGTTGTTACCCCCTTGGGGTTTCCTTTCGAATCAGCAGAAATCACTGCTCTGCACTTCATTCCAAAGAGGAGCACCCAGACACCCTCGCCGCCACCCCTTCTGTTTGTGGTTCTGTTGGTCCTATCATCTGAGAGGGCTGAGAGAGTCCTTGAAACCAGCTCTTCAAACATAAATAAGCAGCCTGTTTAATGAAACAATGTATGCACTCTTTGACATTTGCCAGCGTTGCTCTCAGAGACACTGCAGGACAGATTACTCAGCCTGTCCTCCTTCTTGCCCCAACCCCCCTCCGTCCCCACCATTGTGACTGCTGCCCAGGCCTCCCTAAAGTTGCCCCTACCCTCTCCTCCTCAGCCCCACCCCAGGAGCTCCCAGCTGTCGGCTAGGAGGCGTTTGTGAATGTGGCTGCAACCTGGGGACATGACTGGACCAAGATGAACACTGGGCTCCCCTGGGACACACATCTGCTCCCCCTCTCTGAAGGGGACACACACACACACTCACAAACGTGCCCCAGCCTGCAGGGAGGTCCCACCCTCCCTGCCTTCACTCTGCTCAGGACACAGCCCTCCCTCCTGTGGAATACCAGCTTCCAGAAGAATCTCTGTCCCTCTTCAGAGACTCCAGGGGTTAGAGTTTTTCCCACTCCAGGGTTAGGGTTTGGGTGTCCAGGACTGGAACCTCGGAGAACTGTGGGGAGAGATGCGGGGATCAAAACAATGGCCCCAGGACTCACAAACCACACCTGCCCGGACCTCAGGCCAAATGGGGGTTCCTTCTCCCTTCTTACGTGAGGGTCCTTGGCTCCTATTTGGGGGAGCTGGCCAGTCCGGGGATGAGTAGCTCTGGGTGTTCCCAGGGCAGGAAGGATGTGGGCCCAGGTCTGAGATTCCTAGCTCCTTCGTCTTGTCTGGAAGGTCCCCGTGCAACCCTGATCCTTTCCGCCTCCTTCCCCTCCGGAGCCGAGGGGCTTGGGAAGGACTCTCCTGCCCTCTCGTGGCCAAGTGGCTGCGGGTGGACGCTGCTGGGAGTTGCATGTGAACTAGCGCTTTCTCCAAACTGCACACTCAGTTGATAAATCTTAACCATCAGAGACTATTGTCCAGAAGGAAGCTAGTTCCAGTTATTTGTATAAAGATTTCTTTTTTCTCTTAATGAAAGACACAGAGAACCTCTCCCAGTCACTCCTGGTAAAGACCATAACCCAGGGGTCTATCAGCAGAGGAGTGAGAGTAGGGGAGGAGAAAGGTGGCACGCCCTCCACGGGTGACGGATGACGAGCTGGGGAGTGGGTGCCCGGCAGGGGCAACCCCGGGCCTCTTGTTCCGGGAGGTGTTTTCGGAAGAAACCATGGTGGAAGAGCCGCACAACGCACCTCGACATCCTGGAAAGGGCAGGGGAAGAGACACCACGTGGCGTCCAGAGGCTGGAGCAAGGCCAGGCACCCACCTCCAAGGCCCGAGTGCCGCCCAGCTCGGCCTCACTGCCCAGGCCCGCAGGAGACGAGGTTCGCGCTGCTGAACGCGCGGCCCCGCCCCCTCCAAGGCCCGGATCGCGTCTGGGGCTCCAGCTGCTAGGCGCGTCTAGCTCTGGAACAGTCCAGGTTAGGGATGACGCAGGACGCATGTGCGGGGCGGGACCCGCGGCGTTGCCGTGGCTACAGGGAATGCTCTCCGCTGGGAGAGGCAGGCAGTCGCTTCCGGGGCGGGGCGTGGCCTCCGGATGTGCGTGGCCGCCGGGGGCCATGGCGGCGCTCGGCGTCGTCTGTCTGCTTCTCGGGGCAGCGTTCTGGCGATCTGCCTGCGCCCAGGGTGAGGAGTTCTGGCCCGGCCAGTCGGCAGCCGACATCCTGTCGGGGGCAGCGTCCCGCAGAAGGTAAACGCGCATCCGCGCAATCGGCGGGGTTCCCAGGGCAGCAGGGGCTCTGGAGCGGTGGGGGCGGGGTCCGTGGCCCCGGGCACGGGGAGCTGGACGCGAGCCAGAGTCGCCCTGGGCGGACGCGACCCCAGGAGACCCCAGGAGACCCCAGGAAGGCCCGGCTGCGGGTCAGCGTGAAGGGACAGGCCTGGAGACCCTGTTAGATGATGAGGGTTCTTATGAGCCCGGGTTTCGCGGAGTCTCAGAATCATGTTCGAATGAGGCGGTTCTTAAGAAAGCGCAGCCTTGTTTATCTGCACGGAGTCTTTCATTCTCCGTCCAGATGTTGGATGTTCAAGTTTCAGGCGTAATAAAAGAAGGATCAGTGCAGGTCATCTTGGTACAAAGCAGACCCCGTGGCCAGGGACCCCCGGAGGTGTCATACCATTTTGGTAGTAACACCAAGATGGTATTTGCTTTTTTCAGTGTTCCTTCTATGGATTTGCTGGGTGGTTTTTCCAGGAACCACCCGTGATATCACAGCACATTGAATGCAGCAGCAGATACGAGAATCCAACTATCACCAGACCAAAAGAGATTTGCAAAAATTACAAACATTGCCACTCTTTTCACCAGTTATTTTTGTTTTGAAAAATGTGCTGACTTTTCACTTAAAAATGTTCACGATAACGTGTAATAGGTTTATTATTGTTACTTTGTAGTGAATTAATACATACTTTTTAGCATTCTTATGTTAACTTTTAATACAGGAATTATTTATAGATTTAACACACATGAACAACAGCCTTTCGGGGTCCTCAGTAAGTGTTAAGAGTGTGAAGTGGGCTGTTGACTGCTGGGCTTAGTTGTGAATCATTGCTCATCGTTAGGCAGATGATGCTTCTACCTGTGAGCTCTGTAAGTCATCAGTCAGATGGAGGTGGGATGGAGGTGAGTGGGCGTCTGCCTCCACTTCACAGACTAGAAAGCCCCAGGGGGGATGATCTCCTGGGGATGGCACATGTGTTCAGGTATTCTGTCCGGAAACTTCCTTGCTGAAGCACCGCTGTCCTGCTCCTCCCTGCCAGGTATCTGCTGTATGATGTCAACCCCCCAGAGGGTTTCAACCTCCGCCGGGATGTCTACATCCGCATTGCCTCCCTCCTGAAGACCCTGCTGAAGACCGAGGAGTGGGTGTTGGTGCTGCCCCCCTGGGGCCGTCTCTACCACTGGCAGAGCCCTGACATTCACCAGGTCCGGATACCGTGGTCCGACTTTTTTGACCTTCCAAGTCTCAATAGAAACATCCCTGTCATTGAATATGAGCAGTTCATTGCAGGTGAGGTGGTTTGCTTTGCTGTGGACGGAGGCCAGGCCGAGAGCTCGGCCAGCAGGCTTTCTCACTGGGCCTCTTGTCGTAGCCTTTGCTCTGTGGAGGGGCCCTGTATCCTGCCATTTCCCACCCTGCACAGTGATCTTGGTCTTGCCTTAATTTTTCTGGGAAATAGGTCTGAAGTGCTCACCTCTGATGACCGTGGCAGCCTGGAGAGTCAGCGAAGTGCAGCTACAGCTGCCATGAGAAAGCCGCTGCCACAGAGGCCAGGGCTGTCCCAGCGGGACTTGGCTCCCTGTGCGGAAGAGGTCATTTCTCCTGAAGGAAAACACAGGCGTGTATGGCACTGACCTTGTGGTACCCACTGCAGTGCGGGTGAAGACTTGCAACAATACATTGTTTCATTTAGTCCTACTTAATCTGTCCTTTTTAGTTTTTTAGAGAGAGGAGTTAAAGACTTTCTTAGAATAAAGGTATTCAGAGTTTACTGTTGCTTTGTTTGGAAGACACAAAGTCAGCAATATCTCTTTTCCTCTTCCCTAGAGAGGCCTAGAAGAGCCAGCAACAGTCTTTAAACCACTGATACACTGTAGCACTTATTGATGAGTCACAGCCTTTAAGCTGCTGATACTCTGTCACAGGCATTGGTGGGTCAGGTCTCTAAGCTGCCCATACTCGGTTAGGTTGACTGAGTTCCTACTCTGCAGGGACCTGGACAGCTTAGAATCGGTGCTCACACCGAGGATGGTGGCTTGCATGTCTTCATTTTTCAAGTTCTTTTTTCCCTGCACCGTAGACCTTGTCACTTTGCTTTGTTTCTGTGTTGGAGTCAGCCCCGTGAGCGCTGCAGGCCCAGGACGACATAGGGAGTATCTTCTTGGGAGAGGCAGACTCTGAGGCTGTACAAAGCATCCTTGGAACTCCCTCCCCCCACCGCCCCTGACCCAGGATGATAGATGCAGCTGGGTGTGTAATCTGACTTGACCTAGCCGAGGACCCTGTCCGCACTTGGTCTGAACCCGGGTTACAGAGCCTCAGAGAACCTGCCCTTCACCTTCCTACCGGGTGGGGTGGTGGGTCTCCTGTCAGGTGGGCACAGGGACGGGTCTGGGCCTCTGCCATTTGAGATTGTGCTCAGTGACTGGAAGCTGCGAGCGTGTGGGGTGGCATATAGGTGTCCTCCCTGCTGTTCTCCAGACCGCACCCCCGGAACCGGAGCTGCCAGGGGGAGGGAAGACAGAGCGCCCGGATGATGTGCTTGGAGGCGGGCAAAACGGCTCTGCCTCCACCCTGTCCGACGGGCTGGCACTGCTTAGCCGTTTCCACCCCTAGAAAGGGAGACAGGCTGGGGTGCCCATCCTGGGATGGGGTGCTGGGGCGTGCGCAGCAGGGCGCCCGGCCACATACCTGCCTCTTGGTGTGTCATCACTTGAGAGGAGCCCCTGGAGCTCTGGCCTCAGGTGCCACCGCCACATAGGTGGCAGTGCCCAAGTGAAAGTGAACGTGGAAAAGACACTGGAATTTCGCTTTCTGTCATGCTCTTGTCACTTGGCTCGTTCATTCTGTCTTTGAACAAACCTCCTTTGACCACCACAGATGGGGGAACACACTCTAGGTGTGGGTGGGAGCAGTGGGTAAGGGGGACCCAGGCCCCCACTCTCTTGGAGTTCCTGTGGGGAGTGAGAGCAGCAAATAGATAAGTAAATAAGTCATTGAAACACGCAGCGTTTGAGGTGCAAAGAGGGCACGGAGGGAAAAAAAGCAGGAAGGTGCTGCGGTGGCGGGGGCAGGGAGCCATGGCCTGGGAGGGCGTCCCGGGAGGTGTAGTTTGAATGGCCTCACAAGGGTCAAGAGCAAGCCATGGAGCGGCGGGGGGAGACGGTCGAGGCGGGGATTGCTGTTCAGAGGCCCCAGGGAGGAGCACGCCGAGGCACCGAGGCACGGCGGGGAGGCCATCCCAGGAGGAGCCCCAGAGAGCAGGATGAGGGCGTGCGTGGGGTCTGTGGCCGGCATGAGGGAAGTCGGGGTGCAGGGGTCAAGAGAAGGTTGAGGACAGGCCCAAGTGCTGTGAGAGCTCGGGCGATGAAGAGCCCATGGGAGCAGCCACGGCCTGGACAAGCTCCACCACCCCGAGCTGACCCACTCGCCCCCTTCAGGGACCCTGTGCCCCAGTGTCATTTGTTGTGTGGCAGCTCCACTTCTGTCAGCTTCCTCCAGTCCTTGGAAAGAAGGGGGCCTTGACTAAAGTGATGATTCTCTCTCTGTATCAACGGCAGTCTGATGTGGGCCACACGGGTGCTTTGGTTACTGTTTACTGTCAGTCTTTGGCCTCTTCCAGAGTCCGGTGGGCCCTTCATTGACCAGGTGTATGTCCTGCAAAGTTACGCAGAAGGGTGGAAAGAGGGGACCTGGGAAGAGAAGATTGACGACCGGCCCTGCATCGACCCGCTCCTCTATTCACAGGACAAGCACGAGTACTACAGGTACGACCGGGGCGAGCCTCCCCGCCGCCCGGGGACGGCTCTGAGGGCACCCCCCAGCATCTGGAGCGCACGTGTGACCCCGTGGCCACACTCCCCACCTGCCGGCTGCCTCCTGGTTCCCGAAGGTCTCCTTTCAGCCCCCCAGACGGTGCACAGGCCTCCTTGTCCGCTGCTCGCAGATGCCTTGGGCCATTTTAAAAATACCTGACCGAGACACCTTTACCTTTCCCACGTTGTTGATTGCGTTTGAACCAGGTCCCGGAAGTGGTGGTTTTGACCCCACAACTGTAAGTTGCCACCTGAAGACCTCTCTGTGGGAGGGCTCTCGCCTCAGTGGCTCTCACAATCCGAGCGACGCAGAAGCTCTTTGGAAGAGCATTGTTTTAGGGACCGTTACCGTCACCTCGGGCACTGGAGAGCGTGAAGTGTCACCTCCGTCAGGTCCCTCCGCACTGCCCCTGCTTTCCGTCCCTGTGCCGCCCCAGTTCCTGGGAAGACCTTCAGTGGTCTCATTGGGTCAGATGAAACTTATGGTTACTTTAAAAATTCTCACAAGAACATCCCTACCTCTAACCATGACCAGCAAGCTCTCACTAAGAGAAACATTGAGTTTACCAAGGTCAAGGTGACACGTGTGCCTCCAGATGTCACTTACTGCCTGTGAAAAACAAGCTAAACTAAGGGCTCCCGTGGCTCTTCTTTTCCAGAGGATGGTTTTGGGGTTATGAAGAAACAAGGGGTTTAAACGTTTCCTGTCTGTCTGTTCAAGGATCAGCTTCTATCATCGCGCCAGTGCTTTTGAGAAACACGTCAGCACGGTAGGTGCCTGCAGCGTCTGCTCAGTGAGGGTGCACATGTGTGTGCGTGTGCGCATTTGTGTGTGCACGTGCACCTCTGCGTGTGCATGCGCATGTGTGTATATGCTCGTGTGTAGGTGCATGCGTGCATGTGTGCTCACATGAATGAGTGCAGGTGTGGGTGTGTGCATGTGTACGTGCACGTGCGCACTGTCTTGGTGGCATTGGAATGCCCCTGGCTGTGGCCTGTGTGAGTCACTGGCGAGTTAGACCTTGTCCTCTCCCCACACTCCCTTTGCAGCCAGGCGGGGCAGGCATCAGCATCCAGGAGGAGGCTGCGTGTGTCCTTGGGGAAAGGCCAGGAAAGGGCCCCAGGTTTGGCCCAGCAGCACCCGCGCCGGGGCTCTGCTGCAGGTGCAGTCTGCGTCCCCGTGGCGCGCTCCTTGGAGCTGCTGCACTTTGGAACTGCACGGTGGGGCTCACGCTGCTGGTCATACAGCTGGTGGCCAGTGGAGTCGGACTCGCACCTGCTTCACCCCGGGGTCCCTGTCTGAGGTGGTGGGGACAGGCTGGGACCCAGCTGGGTGCAGCGGGCGTATAGGGGGCGTGGGGCGGGGCAGTGAAGAGGGGAGGACAGGGATGGAGGTAGTGGGCAGGAGTAGAAGGGCGCACCCGTTTTATTTTCTTCATCTGTCCTGGGGATGGCACAGTGCTCCCATGGCAGTGGGGGCATGTGGCTGAGGCAGGTGAGGGCAGAGGCAGAGCCGGAAGGGTTTTGAAATGGGCCACCGAGGTGCCGGGTGCTGGGCAGCCCACCGGAACCGGCCTTCAGTGCCCGCTGGCGGAGGGGCGTGATGCTTCCCGTCTGGGTCACTTCTGAAAGGAGGCTTTCCCTTGTACCTTCTCAAACCTGACTTTGGTGAGGTCAGAGTGGCTGGAGCCTCTCCCAGAAACGCTTCCCTCGGCAGCTGTCCCAGCTTCTCCTGCTGGAAGTGTGTCAGCCCTGGTCCCCACCCCTCCCCCAATCCCACTGTCCTCTCCCTGGTGCCGGGTCCCTTTGGGACCAAGGCTGCCCTCACTCACCACTGGGTAGTGCCGAGAGGTGCCTGGGAAGGCACGAGTCCCCCAGCTTGGCTCGTGAAACAGACTCCAGAGCAGGACGGGCTTGGGGAGCAGGACTGGGGCTTGGCGGCCAGGCAGCCATGTTCTTAGAAGTTGCCTGCAGGTTGAGTTGCTGGGGTACGTGGGACCCTACAACGAGGAGCCCCTGCTGTTAGCTGTCTTTAGTCTGAAGTAGGTGCAGGAGGCAGGCCCCCCGTGACAGCTGCACTGATGCCCCTTGAGCCCGGGGAGCGCAGTGCCCAAGGAAGCCTTTCGTGCATCTCCGAGGCCCGAGAGGTTCTCCGCCGACCGCAGCAGGACCACAGCCTTGCCCCTGGTGTGCCAGGATGCCAGGCGGGGCCCCTCCTCGTCCCTTGAGCCCATTTCTCTGCATTAGGGCCACCATGGGGCGTGCTTGGCCTTTGTAGGCAAAGTACAAGTGCATCCATCGTAGGCCAGCAGACATCTGCTCGATCTGCTCGAAGAACCAGATTTTCAGTTTCGGAAACGTAGGGGCTCAGATTGTGGGGCCCAGCTGTGAGCTCCAGCTCTACTAGTGTCCTAAGGCAGCTAAAAATCCTCACTAAAAACGATTGGGTTTCAAAAGCAGACCTGGCTGAAGTTTGGACCTGTGGGACGTGTAAGTTTGCCAGTCATTTTTCTGAGTCTCATTTATGGGTAAGAAGACAGCTGAGCCTACAAGGAGACGTGCGCCCAGAGAGGAGGCCCCTTAGTTTCGAAGCAAGGGCGGCGGGGAAGGCGGCACTTCGAGGTGCACGTGGCTGGACAGTTTGGGGCAGGGCCATGGTGTAACGGCACGCACGTGGAAGACACGTTTCTGCGGGCAGTGCTGTGTGTTGTACAAAACAGACCCTTCTCACAGAGACCCCAGAGGCTGCCGCTGTACTCACCACCCCCATTTCTCTCCAGAGCTTTGCTGTTTGTATCAAGCGTGTGTGTGTTCATCTCTCCATTAAACATAAATGGAGTCATACTATGTGCATGTTCTCTTTCTGGTCTCGTGGTCCTTCTTTTGTACTTGGAACAGCTCCAGTGTTGAAGATGCAAGGAGGTCACGGCGTTCTTTCGCGGTCGTCTGCACAGATGTGCGAGGCTTTATGAACCAGCTCAAGTCGGAGGGGGGGGGTGGTCTTTGGTTGGTCGGTTTTGCTGTTACAAATAGGAAACACTTTAGCCCAAATGTTGGGGAGTAAACACAGAGGCTCGCACCCAGAGCGGAAGTGGCTGGGGCCGTGAGGTGTGCGCTTTCTGCGCGGCGCCATTGGGGCTCATCCCCACGTGGCCACCAGGGCAGGGAGCCAAGGCCTCGCGCCGATGAGAAGTGCGTCCCTGGTCTGTTAGTTGGTGTTTCTTTGATTTGAGTGAAAAGGTCTTCTGAAGTTTTTCTGAACCCTTTTAAACCTTGCCAATTTCTGTCTCTGCAGTTTTTAATTTTTATATATTCACATTTATTAGTCTGTTCCTTAAAGGTTTGTGGGTTGTGGTTGTTGTTTTTAAGATTTTATTTATTTACATTTAGAGAGAGGGAAAGGAAAGGAGAAAGAGGAGAAGAGAAACATCAATGTGTGAGAGAGATTGTTTGCCTGTTACAAGGCCCTTATCCGGGGACCTGGCCTGCAACCCAGGCATGTGCCCTGACTGGGAATTGAACTGGTGACCTTCCGGTTCACAGGCTGGCACTCAGTCCACTGAGCCACACCAGTAGGGCTGGGTTTTTTTATTCCAGCCTTTACCATCCCAATATTCCTAACAATTCTTGTAAGTTCCACTTTCATAGTCTGTGTTTCCGCATTTCACTGTGACTGCGGAGGCCTCGTCCTGTTGGAGGGAAGGCTCCTGGTTGCCTCCCCAGCTCCCAGCCCAGTCTTCTCTCCACACCTGTCCTGCCTCCTGGTCGCCCATCCCTGGCGGGTACGGGCCTGTTTCTGGAGTGTCCCCTCTGTGCGTTCTGATGCTGTGGGTGGTGTGGTAACCTCATAAAACCCAGCCTCCCTGGGCCCTCACTTTGCAGGGCAGGGACAGGCAGGTGTCACTGAAGAAGGTGCCAGCTTTGGGCTCGAGCAGCACAAGCCGCGTAAGAAGTACCTAGTCCCCTGTTTTACTGGGGCCATTTTTTAAAGATAGGAGTAAACCCTGCCTTGTGCCTTTGTGGAATCCGTCACTGTGTGGCTTTGCCATTTACCTACTGACGTGTGGAGTTTAAGTAATGGATTTTCTCATGTTGAACCATCTTTCATTCCTGATGTGAACCCGTTTTGTCGCGTGTTACTCCTTCAACAGACTGCTGGTTTCTGTTTGCTAGTTTTGTTTGATTTGTTTGTTTTCTTTTTTGCATCATGAGCCCCAGGTGGGCTTGTACCCCCGGATTCCGTGGCTGGGACAGGAGCGACCCATGAATGCTTAGACTCACTTAGAAATTAAAACCCTCTCAGAGGCGTGGTGTGGGCGGCCAGCGAGCTGCTGCCCACAGGGTCCGCCGTAGCTTCCCATGTGCAGCCCGGTGACCCGCAGAGTTGGCGGCCTCTCAGAATTTGACCCTGGAAACCCCTGGCCCAAGGCCCCGCGCTGAGGAACACGTGAAGATAGTCGTTTTTAAAGCTGAACTCTTTCTTCTCCTGTGGTTTAAAAACAGGTCGGTGATGTTGGACAGAGCCGAGAACCTCCTTCATGACCACTACGGAGGGAAGGAGTACTGGGACGTGAGTGCTGCCTGCGGCGTCTCCGGAAGTTTCTCACAGTGTTTTAAGTTGTTCAGATTCTGAAAATCTGAGGCCACTGACAACGCTTGTGTTCAGCTTCGCGGACCGAAGCCATGAGGCCCTGAGCAGCGCCGCGTGTGGGCGTAGCCTTGAATTCTCCCCACCACGCTCAGGCTGCTCCAGGGGGAGGCCAGGCATGGCCAGGTCTCAGGCTGCGGGTCCCGGGTGACTGTGAGCCACCAGCCCCTCTCACAGCTGCCTCAGCCTGTCCTTTCCTGTTGCCCCCTTCGGTCACCGTGTTTAGGGCTCTTTCTGCTCACATTTCATCAGCTTTGACAGGCAGGGTATTTTCTCCCTTGAGGCCTCCATTGCTGCTTCGATGGGGCGCGGGCTCTGGGTGGCCTGGTGCCACGGCCATCGTGCGTGAAGGGTGGTGGAGCTGCAAGAGCGGCCTCTCTCCTGGTGGCAGCATCCCGCTGACGTGGCAGGGTGGCAGCTTGTTCGTCAGGCCTCCACTCAGAAAGGAGGCACGGTCTCTGCTGCCATGGGACAAGGGCAGGGAGCACGTCCTGAGGAAAGCCTGCAGCTGTGAGGTGGGACACTGTGCCAGCCTCTTGGGGCCGGGCCTGTCGGGCTCTGCAGGGCGAGGGGGCAGCCTTCCTCGCGGGGAGCTGCGTGCAGGCGTCCGAGGGATTGCGGGTGGGGCAGGGGCACGGGGACGCTGTGAGGGGCACCTGCCCCTGCCGGATCAGCTCAGCCCCCCACTCCCAGCGTCGCCCAGATCCTAGCACATGGAGGCAAAGTGATTCTTAGAAGAGGGGTGGTTTCGGTGATGGGGGAAAAAATGTGTTTAGGTCAATTCCAGCTCTCTTAAAGGAAAAAACTCACACGGAGCTCACCTCAAGGCAGATGTTTTCTCCCACCTGTGGGATTTGGGTGCCTTCTGCCGGGTCACCTCCCAGAGGCCCTGCAGGAGGACAGTTTGTGGGACCCTCTGCGCCCGGGTGCCCCCTCGCTGCCGTGGCAGTGCCTTTGGGGGCAGCGCCGCCACTCTGTTGGCTTGATTTTTGTCCTCTTCATGGGTTCCCAGGTTTCTTAATTGAGCTACAGGTTTGTTGTTTATGGCAGGTAATTTCTTTAAAGGAAAAACAGTATTTTGTGTTCAAGAAAATGCAGTCTGTGACCTGTTCTCTGTACGCCTTGGTTTGCGATGAGGGTGGCACCCACGTTGCTGCTTAGCCACGAAGTAGCTGGCGTGTCCTCATCCCGGGGGCACCCGCCCCTGTTGCTGTAGGTCAGGAGGCTGAAGAAACGGGGTCGCGTCCCCCACGCAGCCACGGACCTCTTCTGCCACAGGGTCTGCCCCGTCCAGGGCCGTGGGGCCTCCCACAGGCGGGCTCAGCTGGGCAGAGGGCAGGTGAGACCCTGCTCCCCGGACATGTGACCCGGGTGCCTCCTGGGCGGGCCGTTTCAGAAGCATGACGTGCCATTGTTACCCCTGTCGATGTACCAGTCTGTGCCTCTCAGCGCTGCGGTCCCCCACAGGTCGTAAAGGTCCCCCTTCGGGCCTCTCCCGCAGAGCCAGCCGCACTCGCAGTCAGGGAGGGCGAGGGGCCACGCGTGGTGGCCTGCAGAGCGCCTGCCGTGCTTTGGCCTCCTCGGGAGCCCTCTCTTCAGCACCTGCCTTGCTAACAGGTGCTGACTCATCACCCTGCAAGGTGGCCCCAGTGACTTTAAGGCCCTGTGCACAGCTCGGCCCTCCTGAGCGCCAGCTTGTTGTCCTTGGTGTTTCCATCAGAGTTTTGGGGTGGCCTCTGGGTTCGGCCGGGCCGCAGGGGCTTGTCCCGGGCTGGGCTGGGCTGGGGGCTGAGCCGGGCATCCCCCCGCAGGCAGACGGGCCGGGGCACTCACGGTGCTGTCTCCGCGCCCCCAGACGCGGCGGAGCATGGTGTTCGCCAAGCACCTGCGGGCGGTGGGCGACGAGTTCAGGAGTAAATACCTGAATTCCACGAACGAGGCCGACAGGATCCCCTACGAGGAGGACTGGACCAAGATGAAGGTAGCTTCTGTCTCTTTTTACTTAGAGGAAATGTAAATGATCGTTTTAGGTGTGTTACAGTGAACCCCTCCCTTTACAAGATGGGAGGGTGGCCGGACTGTCACCTTCAGTGTCTCTCCCTTTGCGGTCCGCCTTCGTGACTGTGATTCCCGTGGGTGCTGTTCATCAGGACCCCCTCCCGCCCCCAGGCCTGGTGCAAACTTAGGGGGATTGCCAGGCCCGGTCCTCTTTGGTGAACGGAATGGGCACTTACTGCGGTTCCCGCAGCCCGGAGGGGCGCCCTTAGGGGAAGAAGTGCTAACAGGCGAGCAGAGCGTGAAAGGTGGTATTATGTTCAGTGTTTTCTTCTTTATAACATAAGAGCAGTAAAGAAAAAAAGCAAGATTTATCTACACCATCCAAAAACACCACTTACCGCTTTGGTCTACCATTGTCCCTTTAAAAAAATGTTTTTCTGAACAGTTTGGTTTTCCTATAATTTAATTTTAACAAATCACATATTGCATCTTCAGACTGTGGTTTTTAACAGCAAACTGTTTCGTAGAGAGAAACTCCATTCCACTGGTTGGCTCTCTTATGGGACATTGGGCTAGTTTCAGGTGGAATGGCGTCGTTCAAGCCCTCATTAGTAGGTATGTGGATGGTCTTTACTAGAAATACATAATATTAAGTGGGAGGTTTTATCTTTTATCCAATTTGTGTTCTCTCCAGTGTTTTATTTACTTTTGTTTTGCACTCAGATCAAAGGGTATGATAGTCACTCCACAGCCTTAGGGAGACGTCCTGTTCGCCTGAGAGTCCCTCAGGGAGACTCACAGTGCAGGACGCTGCGTGTGGAACGCGCGTCACCCTGCGTCTCCTGAGTGCCAGCGCCTGGACGCTCGTAGGTCCCCCTCATCACGCCCCGGTCCTCCTCTGCCAGGTCAAGCTAGGCTCCGCGCTGGGGGGCCCTTACCTCGGCGTCCACCTGAGAAGGAAAGATTTCATCTGGGGCCACAGGGAGGACGTGCCCAGCCTGGACGGAGCTGTGAAGAAGATCCGCAGCCTCATGAAGACCCACGGGCTGGACAAAGTGTTTGTGGCCACAGACGCCGTCAGGACAGGTAAGCAGCCCTGGCAAGCAGCCCTGGCTTCTGTCCGTCTCTTCTTGCCCTGGGTGCGCTCTGGGCAGACCTGGGTGTGGACACGGACCCTCGGCCGCGCCGCTAGGAGGGGAACCCTGAGCTTTGTGGTTTTGTCTTCTTTGCCTCTTTAGTCAGTTCCTGAAGAATTAACGTGCCGCAGAGTATGCTTGCAAGCCTGGTAGGCAGGCGCCCGTTGGCACCTGCATATGCTGCCACTCAACGTCCTCTCCTTTTAACTTGCAGAATATGAGGAGCTGAAAAGGCTGTTACCCGAGATGGTGAGGTTTGAGCCCACGTGGGAGGAGCTGGAGCTCTACAAAGACGGGGGCGTGGCCATCATTGACCAGTGGATCTGCGCGCACGCCAGGTGCTCCGAGCTGAGGGCGCGCTTGGTTGTGTTTCACAAGGTTCATGAGTACCTGACAGTCAAAGCAGATAGAGTTCTGTGTACCTTTGGCCACTGCCCAGCATCCACTCCACTGTTAAGTCCCATGTGGCTTTGGGCTCGGTGGTCCTTGGGCGAGTTCAGTTCTTCATTTCATTCCTTTGGTCCGGGGTGTGCTGTCGCCATTGCTTCACCCAGAACCTCTGCTCCGCCGAATGTTGTCAAAGCTGGGCAAGCGTGGGCCAGTGAGGGCCCCTCCGTTCCCAGGCCCGCCTTCCAGCGGCAGCCCCCACCCTGGGTTCTGTCCTTGAAGAGTGGGCCTGGGGCGGGCTGAGTCTCAAAGCACGGGCCCTCTGTCTTGTCATTGTCCTGGCATTGCCCTTGTAGGAGGTGCCCAAGAAAGTGGGCCCTGGGCCCCCCGTGGGTCTCTCTCAGGACTCCTCTGCCCGTTGGTGCTGGGAGGAGATCAGGGAGAACACGCCAAGTAAAATGGAAAAGAAGAGTGGAGCGGGGCATTTCCCCTCTGTCCTCGGGACTCTCAGATTGCAGACCCCTGGGTGGCTGCGCGTGTTCGGCTTGCATGGGCCAGCATGTGCGTTTGTCTTTGTGTGCGCTGGCTGCTGTAGGAAAGGCCCAGGGGACAGCCTCCTCCTGGGTGAGAGGCCCTCCCCCGCAACAGCAGGCGGAGTTGGGGGCGAGCTCAGCCCCAGCAGCACGCAGGTGGGTTGGGGCTGAGAGGCTCCGCCAGTACCTTGGCTGGCCCCCTCCCCTTGGGCATCTCAGCCAGAGTCAGACAGCTCTGTCCCCTCAGCCCCCAGAGCTGTGTGGATGTTTAGAGCTTAGTGCTTCTGCCACCTGCATTCCACCGTCCCAAACCTGGCAGGCGTCTTGCGTGGGGTGGGAGGGGGCGGGGGGGGCCTCTGTGCCTTTATTCTAAGACCACCATCCTGGAGGGGGCTGGAGGCTGCAGGTGATTTCCTTCCCCACCACGGCCTTGTGTGCGGCCTTGCTTCAGGCTCCGAGCCCTTGCCTCTTGGAGCCAGAATCTGGCAGGCATCCGGAGTCTGCCCCCTGCAGGGCCGTCTGCCTCCTGAGCTCCCGACCCTCTCAGCCAGGCCCCAGCAGCCTGGCCTTTGGGCCCCTCCGGTTTCTGCTCCACCCCGCCAGCCTTGGCCATTCAGCCGTGATGGTGGCCACGGAGTGCCGGGCCCGGGGGGCTGGGCAGGCGTCTGGGGGCGTTTGAGCATGCCGCCGGTTCTGTGCGACTCTGGTGACCTCTGCTGTTGCTTTGCAGGTTCTTCATTGGCACTTCTGTCTCCACGTTCTCTTTCCGGATTCATGAAGAAAGAGAGATTCTAGGGTTGGACCCCAAGACTACATATAACCGATTTTGTGGGGACCAGGAGAAAGTGTGCGAGCAGCCCACGCACTGGAAGATTGCGTACTAAGCTGGCGTCTTGGGGGCCCCGTGCCCTGCAGCCATTTTACACGCAGTGGACTTGCTGGCTTCCCCCAATGACACATGTCACCACGGGGTCGTTCCTGCCCCTGGCCAGCAGCTAGACAGACACACCACCCTGTTTCAGGGCCTCGGGCCTGGAGGCCACACATGTGGGCATGGTGCGTCACCACGTGAGCCGCGGCGTGAGCCACGCTGCCCCTGGAGCTGGGCCTGCCCTCGGTGTCTCCTCCAGCTGTCACCGCCCACGAAAAGGCGCTGCCACTTTCTAGGGGCTCTCGTGTGCTTTCTGCCAGGACCCGAGGCCCTGTCTCAGCCGCCAGCAAGGCCCGTGGCATGTTCTCCTCAGCCGGGAGGGCTGTCCCCGGTGAGTGGGGCAGGCGCAGCGCGGGAGCAGCTCCCATTCTGGGGGGCGCTGCAGAGCTGGTGGGGCCCGCGGATCTGGTGCCATTTGGGCCTGTGGGTCACTCATTGTAACTCCTGCGTCGGCCCCAGAGCAGAGCCCTTGGTTCTGCCCTGTCGCCCTGAGGGAGCCCTCGTGCGACCTGGAGCAGAGGAGGACCATTGCCTCACAGAGCCAGGTCGGAGGGGGCCTCTGAAGCAGTCGCTCTCCTCTCTGGGTCAGAATGCCAGAAAGTTCCACTGCCGGTCTTCAGTGCTTAGGCCTGTTCCCATGGAAACTGGTCCATCCTCACACCAGTGTCCGGGTGGCTGCCTCTGCATTTGTGACTCGCTGCAGCGTGCCAGAGGCTCTGGCTGCAAGGGCCCGGCCGGCAAGCTGGAGCCCGGTGGCCGGGATGTGGCGGGGTCGAGGTCCAGGGCCCCGGGTGCTCCATCTCCTTCCCAAGCTTCTGAAACCCGCCCTGAACGCGCGCAGGGGTCTAGGGGTGTCACAGCTGTGCAGAATGAAATGATGAAATATTTATTCTATTTCCATTTGTACATTGAGATATTAATAAAATAAATTTTCTAGAAAGCTGGAATCCTGAGATACTCTGTCTGGGCTGCTCGAAGGACCCCATAATCTGTCCCCTTTTTCCTCTCCCATCTGCACCTTGCAACAACATCCCCTCTGGGCACCCTGCTCCCGTCCTCCCACCTGGGTGCTGGGTGCCAGGTGGGTCGCCCGCCGCGCTAGCAGAGGATTAACTTGTGGGAGCCTGGGAGCGAGCCTCCTGAGGGTGGGGACGTGAGGAAGCAAGTTAGAACCGAGAGCAGGGCCCCTGTGGGGGAAACCTGCGCTGCGGGGAGAAGCGGTCGCGAGCGCCGCTCTTCAGGCGGCGTCAGGGGGGACGTTTACGCACAAAGGACCAACTGCCTGCAGGGCCACCTGGTACAGGATGAAGGGCTGGTAGGGGGTGAGCGCATAGGCCCCTGCTCCGGGGTGGGGTGGGTGGTCAGAACTCCAAGGGGTTGGATGTGGTGGGTCACCGTGCACCTGTGTTGTGAGGTCGGCGGCAAGACAGCTGTGCCTGGGTCTGGCGGAGGAGCTTTGGAGAAGGAACAGCTGGGCAAACGCACACCTGACTGGTTCAAGCAACAGCATGGGGCAGGGGGCGGGGGGCGCGCGGGGCAGGGAGCCAGGACCCAAGATCATAGATCCTCAGGCCAACAGAAAGGGGGCCGGGCAGGAAGCAGAGGGAGGGGCCAGCAAGGGACAGGAAGGTCACCCAGGGCCCAGGCCAGGCTGGGCTCCGGTGAGAGACATTTGGCGAGATGAGCTGCTCCCTCTGCTGGAGGCTGTAGGAGGGGACGGCGGAGGCTCAGCTGCCCCCGGGTCCTAGGTCTTACCCGGGAGGGGGGCGGTTCCTGAGCTGGGGGTTGGGGGAGGAGCACACTGAGGGGCCATGTGAGACTCCAGCCCACAACCCCAGGTCCGCCCCTTCTCCTGGGGGACTTGGAGGCTGTGACTCAACACTGTGAGGAGGAGGCCTGGCCAAAGCGGCAGAGCCCTCCCCAGCTCCCCAGCGGCCCTCAGCAATGCCGCTGCCTCCAGCTGATTCTGATAAACCCACTAATCATCCATTTTCAGCCTTTTCCACTGAATCTTTTAAAATCAAAAGGGGGCCGTTGACTGCAGACATTCGGACTTTGGAGGACACATCTCCGCTGCCTTGGACCTGCTCCTGCTCCTGCTCCTGGGTGGAGTGACGTCACAGAGATGGGCCTGCACTTTGGGGTTTGCTGCTCCAATTATTTCATGACGCCGAAGGAAGGCAGGCGGCAGTTCTAGCCAGGGAACCTGAGCTCAGAGGTGAACGTTCCCTCTGCTCAGTGAGTGCCCCACCCTCCCCTCCAGGTTCTCTGTGATTAAACCAGGTCCTTTTTCGGGGAGGTGGTGACACACTTAGTTAACTCTGGATGCACCGTGACCAGCAATGAAAGAACCGCTGGCCCTCAGTCATCTGTACAAACAAGTAGGGGGCCAACGACTGAAGCTCACAGCCCTGGACCCTGAGGAGCCTCCTGTGTGCACAAGGACACAGTGCCCGGGCTGGGAGCTCCGGTCCTAGTGCCACCCCCACTAGACCTCCAGAAGCTCCATGGCAAGTGAAAGGGCTCTGCGGAAAGATTAAGACTCCGGCCCTCAAGATGCCCAAGAGGAGGCAAGACAACCACTCAGTTGGGGCTCTGGGCACCCATGCTGGGCCCTCTCCAGCGACAGCTTCTCTGGTTTTGAAAACCCAGCTCTTCTCAAAGCTGGGTGTCTGTCAAGAGAACAGAAACCCGACCAAGCCACTCAACAGTCAATGAGCACACATAGCTCCCACCGCTCAAAAGGCCGGGGTGACCGCCTTCAGGCACCGCTGGATCTAGGGGCACGCGCTGCATTGCTGGGATCGGCTCCATCCTCACCCTCTGCTCTGCTGTCTCCTGGTGACCCCTATTCTTTGAAGGTCCCTCATCCCAGTGACAAGGTGGACATCCTCAGCAAGAGCGATACCCTCTCATGTCGCATCTCTAAGTCCTGTAGGTGAGACTGTCACCTTCTGGACAAATAGTAGGAGTTGATCCAAACATGTCCTGGCCAGTGTCTGTGGATGAGCTTGGCCCCCATGTGTGGGCGAGGACCCCTCTCAGGCCAGGCAGGAGAGCGGGGGAGGGGAGCTCCCCCACCTGAGCACCTGAGCTCTATACCTCAGAATGTGGCACTCAGTTCTGTGCTCGCCTGTGGGGTCCCGATGACGTGTGTGATAATTCTGGCAGCTGTTTCCATGCCTCTGCACCCCACACAGGCACATTTGGGCTCTAACCAGACTGGAGAACTTTCAGGACCAAAATAACCCTTACACCCTATTTCCTACCTTCAACATCATTAAGGTGGGAATCATCCAGGCTTCAGTCCATGCTGACATCAAGCTGGGAGCAATTTAAAACAGTTTTGTGTCCCAAGCACTTCTGTTGGCATTAGGTACTCTCATGAGAAGTGTGAGAGCCCGCGGTATGCAAATCACCAGCAGAAAGGGAGGGCTGATTCAGGTACTGCTGTTTTAAAGAGCCAGCGATCCCCAAGACCATGGAAACATTCACCCCTTCCACCTCAAAACGCACCCTGGAACCTGCCCCGCGGGGTCAGTGGCGCCAGGAGCCTACAGCACCGTCTGGCCCACCGCCTCTCCCTGCACCTGCTCATGCACACGGGTTATTTGCTTTGCTTTCTCGTTTGGGAAAACAGGCTTTGAGAACTAAAATTAGATCGGTAATCCGTGTGCCTGGGTGAATAAGCTCACGCGGTATGACTCTGAGAAGCCACCTGAGGTCAGAGCACGCGGGCAGGTGCAGGACAGGTGCAAGGCCTTTGCACGCAGCTTGTGCGGCTGCAGGTAGTGCAGCAGATGGCACAGGCGGAGGGCAAGGCCTGAGCAAAGTCCGGCCAGGGTCTCAGCGTCTCCTGGCTGAGTGCCTTAGAGGGAAAATGCAGACCCCTGCGAGTAAACAGTGGCAAGAAAAACCTAACCAAGCAGGAGGTTACTCAGGTGACATTGTTTTCCTTTCCTTATTTCTGACGATGCATTTACAATGTAAGTAGTGCAGTAGATAACACAAAGAAGGAAAACAATGTCTTCTTGTGCATCAGAACAGGCCCTCCTGCTGGTGGACCCCGCCCCGCACAGTGGGCCAGTTGGCCTGGGCCCCCAGCCCCGTGGCTGGGCTCCCTTGCGCAGCGCATGGCCTGCTAAGGGCCCGTGGCCATCCTTCAGCACCGCGTGCTCAGGGCCGGGCCCAGGCTGCTGAAGCTGCATTTGAGTTCTTGTGGCTCCTACACTAACACTACAGATTATTTAAGATTTGTTTTATTTTTAGTTATACGACTTCATGTGCTTTAAAGACCTCAAAGAAGAGAAAGCAGCAGCTTTCCTGGTGTGTTCGCGACTCAGGTGGCACTTCTAAGGGGGGAGGAGGGGCAGGAGAAGTCTGCGTCACACCCCATGTGGGTTTGGTGACTGAGGTGTGGGCTTTGGGCCTCTGGCCAGGCCGTTGATGTTGTGTGAGGTGGGGACCTCAGATGACCCGTGACTGCTCTGCGGCCCAGCTGGCTTGGCAGCAACGAGATTCACGAGACTGCCCCCTGCCCACCGTGCTCAGCGGGGGAGCACTCAGGAAGGTGGCTTCACATTTTTGCATTACTTCTGAATGAGCTGATAGTCCCTTCTGCTGTCTCCCTGCTTCATGCGTCCCCTGCACTTGAGAGCGGGCTGGGTTGGGCCTCCCGCTGACAACAGGACCTTGTAAAAGACTTGGATCCCCAGCAACATCCACTGAGGGAACTGGGGCCAGATCCTGCCTTGGGGACCCTTGAGCTGAGGCAGCCCAGCCAAATGGACACCTCAAAGGCAGGCCCGATGCCCAGGTCCTGCCCTACAGACGCTGGGGTGACAAATGTTGGCTTGACTCCTAAATTTTTGGGGTGTGCAGCAATAGATACCAAACATACTGTGCTCACATTGCTGGACAAGAACAGTGACAGAATGTGAAAAAATGTGGGCGTCCTAGGCGACTGTGCCCAGGGCACTTCGGGGGTCCAGATCCGAGGGACATGCCAGCAGCAGGCCTCCAGCCTCTTCCCCGGCGCTCAGGTTGGGGTGCATAGGAGGCTGTGGGTGCAACCCCAGCGCTGCTGCTGGCCAACCAGCATGACCTGGGACCTATGTCCTGAGCCAGGTGACCATCCTCCGCCCCTCCCCCAAAAGCATGCATGAGGCTTGAGTTCACTGGGCTTGACCTGGAGATAAACAAGCTCCCTCCTGCAGGAGCGACAGCTGGCAGCCCTGCAGGCCTCGCCACGGGGAGCACAGTGTCATCCACCCTGGAGCCCAGAACATTCTCGGTGCCCCCACCCCAGTGAGCCGCAGGGAGCCCTCAGGAGCCCCAGGGGACCCCACTGCCCCGCGGCCAGAATCAGCCTGGGCCTGGCCAGCCTGGTGCTGTCCAGTTTGCTCATACTGTGCCCTGTCCCCTGTCCTGGGTGAGGCGGTGGGAGCCCTGGCTATGGAGCCTGAGGGTGACACAGAGGCCACTCTCATGGAGCAGAGTTTGGGCCACATGTGGAGGTATGTGAGAGAAACCACGGGAGGGAACAGAGGAGGGCCCACTGCCCACAAGGAGGAGGGACGGGGTCCCCTGGGAGGGCTGGCACCGCGCCCCCCAGAAGTCAGCAGACGGCCTGCGGACTCAGTAACCCGGTTTCTGTGTCCCGGGGGTGCGTAGCTGTGCAGTCACACTGCGCTGCTGGCTCCCGGCGCCATCTGCTCCCCAGGCCGCCCCAGTGCTCCTCGCGGCCACATTAGCTGCCTAATGAAGGCTGGTGCTGTGAGAAATGGCCCGTGACAAATTAAATCTCTCATTTCTATTAAGAGGCCTTTTTAGGACAAACCAGGGCGGCTTCGTGTCCCTCACGGCTGGGCCCTGGG